CTCATTCAATGCACATTGTATCACTATAGATCAATGTTATACATCAATACAGCAATACAGGCGTTAAAATATTTAAGGTACCAGAAAAGTGCTTTCAGTGTGCATCGCGAGTTCCTTCTTCTGCTGTTTCTAACCAGCACAAACTGCCTATCCCCTAAAAATATTTTTACATCTCAACGAAAATATGTTTTTAGGTGAGTCATTGATTAACGCATTCCTCGATATCCAACACGTCAATCAGGCTACTGAACAACTGAATGCATTGGATAGCATCAATACGATGCAAATGTTAGAAAGTAAATTTATGAAATTCACTAATCAGTCATTTTGATCAACAATCTGTTGATCAAAATAACTGATCAATTCAGAACGGTCAAAATGACTGATCAAGTCATTTAGAACGTGTACTGAACATTTCAATTTTTTACTACATTCAATTTTATCTTTTTTAAGAAAGCTTAACGAAGAGAGAAATCAAATGACTGCCATGATATGAGCGCATATACCAATGTGTTTATCACTTCAAACTGAGCACATCCCGCATTTCAGCAGGAAGCGTGTATTCTCGACGAAGAGATGCCTTATTTGAAATGTATAAGTACATGCTCTTACTGATTGTGCAGGTGTACCGTTTTCAAATGAGGTTTGGAGCAGCTTGATGCGTGTCTGAGGTGACAAATTTCACTCGGAGTCATGAAGGACCTTTCGTGTTCATTTACTTCCATTATGTTACTTTTATCATGCAGCCTGCGATATATCTAACTGACGACGTAGTTTCAATCAGCAGATTTCTTAATAAAATACAGAATATCTTGAAGTTCTCTAATGAATCAAAAAGCGGTGTTGTAATAGCGTAAACTACTATTGAAGTATGTTACGAATTGAGTAGCCCAGCATTTTGTGTCAAAACTCGAGATTTGAGGTGATTCATCTGAAGAAAAAAAGACGGCCTTCAGAATTTCCTTATCAGAATAATCATCAATCGATGATTCGAACGGAATTTTTTAAACGTTAAAAATTCATGAATTCATCAATCGGTTCTTAAATTGATGAATCAGTCAGTGGATAAACAATCAATGAATGAATCAATTTTCTGATCAATCGATGAATTTTAATCAATAATTCACTGAAGTTTTGAAAGAAGAGACATAAAATCAGATGAAGCATCATTAGGGACGGTGATTTTGAATCTTTTGAAGATGTAAAACGATATGCAAAACGGCTGCGTTGAGTAAACTGCACCAAACAATGCATCAATTCGGCGTTCACCTTCGATTTTTCATTCATTCAAACAAATTATGAATCACTTCATTCTTCTCTCAGAACTGAAAAATAGCAATTCCGTCGAATTCCAGTTTGAATCAAATGATTTGTGTAAATATTCCCACTTCAATGATTCCATTCGATACTTATATAAAGTAGACTGCACACATTACGATCACTCAGCTGAAATACTTGTTCTAAAGCTGCTAACTTTATAAACCCCATTTTAATATCGAGGTAAACTGCATGTCTTTTCAATTCCTGATATTTGAAGTTTATTTCATCAAATCCTACTCCATAATTGGTCTCATCTCCTGACAACTGAAAATTTGCCTTCTCAAACAGAATCCCGATACTTAAATCCGTCTTGATCTCATCTTCCGATGAAATACTTTTTGGTAGATTTTCCAAACTCTGGATAGGTTCATAAGAACAACGAATTAGGTGTGCCGAACGAAACTTTCATTTGATTTGCAATTGGATGCAAGTAAATTTTAGAATGGTGCAGTGCGTTGGGATTGCGTTGATGCTACTCTTCGGAATAGCAACAGCGTTTCGTCAACAGTCAGTTGGTGTCAAAGGGCAGTTAGTTTGTGGTGATCAACCAGTCGCAAATGAGCTTATCAAACTTATCAATCATAATACTGTTGGTTAGTTTATTGCTTCTTGATTACCATTCACTTGAACGCTGTCTGAATGATCATTATCATTCAAGATCTCGATGAGCAGTGAAGGCATTCTAGTGGAGAAAGTTATGGTTCTTCTTAAAATCATTCGCACAGTTCATCTCGGAAAGTTTACGAAAGGCGTCAGAAACTGTCTCTTAAAGATGGCCTCGAAGTGACTGGTCTTGGTGGTTGCTGTAACATTAACAGTGCTTAAACTGGCAACAATACGTTGTTCTCAATGTAATAAAAGTTCGATCAATGAACAGGTTTCGATGATCAGCTAGCGACTGTAAAGACAGATGCGCAAGGGTATTATACGATACAAGGAGGCTTAGGATCACTGTTATCGATGGAAGTGAAGATGAAAATATATACGGATTGCAACGATGGATTGGTATTGTTCACTTGTTTGTTACTGGAATAGTTCTGATGTTCATTTGCGACCGATAGATATTAAGAACAAAACTTTGATTTAGATCCTAAATCTTCGTGGTTTTCTTCAAAATAATCTTTATAATTCATCTTCGTAACATTGCTGAATTGACCGTTTTATTGACGATCAACCCGGAAGGCAAATTTGAAGATATACAAATTTTTGAACCAATCGTTCAAGTTACTATCATACGCATTAAACATAAGTCGAGTCAAAGTGAAATCAAGTCATAATAGCGACTGAATCGAAAGGAATAAATAAGAAATGTCGGTTTTAGTGCTAAACGTGTAATTTCAGCCATGCAAACGTGAGATTAGCCTTGGTATACCGAGTGAATTTGTGACAAGAAGTGATGCGGTTCAAAAATACTTCAACGGTGGTAGTTTGAACTTGCAATTCAAATTCCATGATGAAGGCAGAAGTTGCTTGAACTGAACGCACTCTCAATCGACGTTGAACTAATCACAGAACGCAAAATCCCATCCATTGACTCTTTATAAAATGATGTTGTCAAAAAAAAAACAATTGTCAAAAAACATCTCTCGATGGACTTCACCGATTTATACTCAAATGTTCATTATAATGCTGGTGTCACTACTCTGATCGCAATTATTTGTGAATTCTTCGAACAATAAATCATTTGTCTGGAACNGATAAGTGGGTGTTCCTTACAGTTCACAGATAACAGTCGTTAATTTAAACCTGTCACAATTTTCTATGTGAAGGTTGCAACAATGATCGTTATGAGATTCAGTTGATTGTTTGAAACGAAACGTTGATCAAACGTTTTTAGATGTGACAATGAAGGTCGTCATTTCATGAATGACGCTTCAAACATCCGCACTATTGCAATTTTAAGTCCAACATAATAAATCACTGCATACAACTATATGCATTGCACAATATGGCAAATATTGTCGAATGCGTGAAACTGCTTGAATTTTGGCTCAATGAAGCAATTTTTGCGTTAAAATACGCTACTTTCAACTGCATACAACTTTGTTTGCATCAGTAATATCTTCGAATACTTGAAGAAAAAAAAAGAATACTTGCACATTACAACTAATCATGTGATTTATTATGACACAAACCGATGATCGTTGAAAGCAGATTAAAAAGCACAAAAAAGTTGCGTCTAGTCGTTGATTCGATTCTTTTTTGTTTTATATTTGAAATAAATGTGATAATTTCATCCTCGATACACTTAAGGTCAGCTAATTTTTTCGCCTGCCAGTGCCAAATTCTTGACGTTATGCGAAGTTAGCCAAAACATCGATATTTTATGTTCGTGATCTCCACTTCTGATAGTTTACCGATTCTGTTCGATCACGTTCATCGAGTCGATCGATAAAACAAAGTTCATGATTCATGAACCACTTAGTTGGATTTTGCTTACGACTTGGGTTTCTCATAACTCTGAGATCTTGCGTTTCAAATCAATAAAGCTATGAATAAAATAATGAATGAGGAGATTGGATTGGGAAAGAATGATATTATCGCTATCGTTCCACACGAAAGAAAACCATATTTTTGTGGTGTGTGGATTAGTAGACGATAACAAATGTTCAAGGAGTTTCATATAGACTACTCACTCAACCAGCTTCACAGTGTCAGACAAACGAGATAGTATTAATAAAATACCTACATCTCCTCAACTAAGCCGAATTGCTCAGTAAAATTTATAATATTCTGAATCT